TTCTTGTGACAAAAGTGGATTTAAAACGTTCAAAGTATATTGATAGAATTCAAAGATGATGAGAACAAGAACGCAAATGTCCCTATCTAGCTATAAAATTTGTAGCAATGAGAGCTAGGCGCGCAGCGGAAACAGAGTGTTTGAGTCGAGCTCAGATTTGTCATGACGATATAGGTATGAGGTGATAAGTACATAAACTTGCGGTTGCTACAAGACTAAGATCCTGTTCAATGTGTGTGATATTTATTGCGAACCGGTACGGCGAAGCTATGTGAATGTGCGCAAGGTTAATGACCGAATTATTATATTGTAATAATTTGTGTGTGTGCGTTTGTGAATAACGCGGGTAGGTGTACCTTACCTGCACCAAGTTCTATCTAGTCTTTTCCCACTCAAAGGTTGATAAACATATACGAAGTCACTTTATAGCTTGTTCACTGTTCAACACACGCACATGATTAAAAAATTGAACAAAGATGAATTCGATCACATAGATAAATGCAAGACGCTTATCAACAAAAGGCTGATCGCTTTGCCCTAGCCTAGTATACTAGGTTAATACATGCATTGATAGCGTCATATTCATTCTTTTGTAACTGTTGCAGTACAGTCTTTTACAGCTAGATTCCGTACTCCGAACAAAATTACTTTCATCAAAGGGCAAGCCGCAGAGCTTGCTCGACTATCTTAAATCTAACACAACCCTGGGCGCGCGAAAAATGATTTCCCAAATAAGGCTGCTAGAAGCTCAATTCGAGCAAGCCTGTCGTACGCGAAGCGGACTGACGTAACCTACAAAAATACAGTCAAAACTGAAAAATGCTAGGGACGATATTAAGAATTCTAGACAAGCAGAACGAGCTGTAGTAAGTGCAAAGGACACATCAAAGACAGCCGAATGTGCTTCTAGGATACATTGTCATGTGCTTACATCTTCAAGTTTAGCAGAATTGCAGAATTGATACCTGCTTAAAAGCTGGGTACACGATGCTGGTGCAAACCGACATTTAAATTAAAAATGTACGGTACTTCGAGAAATTTTTTTAAAACTAAACCGAGCTTAAACTCAAGAAGGAGACGGTGAATGGATATAATGGTCCCACTGCACCTATTAAGTCAGTACAATCGACTTACTACTAGCCTATTCACATTTTGACTTGAAGATGTCTACTATTCACCCGAACGTCCATACCTTTTCTCTAAAATAGCAGCACAAAAGCAAAGTTTTAAAGTATAATGTAATCACACAAAAGTGCTGCACACGCTGAGCAAAGATAATGGCGTTGCTTTTCAAGCGCACATCCGAACCATGTCTATACGGTTACCGATACCCCGGTGTATTTGCGTTCTAATTGTGCATTTGAATGATTTCATATGTAAAACAAATAGTAAGGCAAGGAAAGTGTCATAAATTGCGAAGCTGGATGGTAAATATGACATTAAGGTACAAAAAAACCTTCGAAATAACCTTGCGTTTCGAGTGGAACTTCTCGCTAGAAGTGGACTATCTTGTTAAGTTCCAACCCCACCTGTAGCAGAAAGATACGTCATGGTGATCTTAAAATTTATTTATTTCGGGTTTAGCTTGCCAGAAAAGCAGTAAGCGTCCGAAAAGTTTACGTTGATGCGTACCCCTCATACTTGCCAACGAAGTTACTCGGATTTCCACAGAAAAGCAAAATGATTAGGCTTACCAAAACGAATGCAAATGCTAAGTCGAAATTACGAAAAGAGCAATTTCGACTGGTCAAAGAACAATAGGAGTACAAAAAGAAACAAGAATCATCGAGAACACCGCAGTAAATGCTCCGAGTATTAACTCGAGATACCATGTTACTCTACAGCTCCAACTAAAGACTGCGACGCGTGCACATCAATAAAGTTCAGTGCAGTATTACTCGAGCCGCTAGCTCAGGAAATTTAATGCCATACCTCCAATTTGAGCGTGATCGCTTTGAATGGTCGCTAAAAAATTAAACAAAGGGATATAAAACAACTTTGTAACAAACAAACTGCGCCTAGACATGTCGTCCAAAATACCACTTGGTCTAATTCTTGTGTCACATTTTAGACATAAGAGCTGGGTGTGCATCAGATTACGAACTTGGCGGTATACGCATTTATTCAGACACACGTGCATGTTGTGGTCGAATTGTTATTTGTGAGGAACTTATGATATTGTAAATACGTGATTTTGTTCATCCGTATAACTTAATAAAGTGAAATATAGTGCTCTCTCTGATGACTCTTTCCCCTGATTACTTCAAAACTCCGTTACTACACAGTTTTAAGTGTTCACCGAGTCCGTTCAATGGTTGTTTTATAATCACCGATCGTTAATTAATGACCAATAGCCACGAATTGAGATTCGATTTTCTAGATGAAGAATTTGCACCAAATGTGGGAGAGTGAACCTATTTAAGCCAAGAATCGAGGGTGGAATGTGCGGCGTTGGCACTACGAATGTCATCATGTGGGCTGCGGAGTAGCTTTGACGTACAACTAATGGTTGCTAGGACATATAATGCAAGGTGGACGCACTAAATTAGTTAAGAATCTGCTAGCACTTGGTCAACTTGTCTCCGATCATTTGTTCCTTTGCTTCAGCTCCTTCTATTCATCCTTTCTCCTCCTCAATTGCGCTCAAAGTCTCTTTTTTGTTGAGATGTGGATAAGCCCTCTCGTTCTCGCCGATTAAGTGATTATCTCATCCTTAAAGAGTCGCCATTTATTAATGAAGAATAAAAAAAGCAGCAAATGACCAGGATGGCGAAGTGTCTCTGAACTTGAGGCAAAACCTATACAAAATGGTACAAACAAAGGTGAGAACCTGTAGAAGGGGTTTCTGGGGCTATCGTTTTGCTAATTTTTGGTATATTTTATATCAAGGGTGTAAAAGAAGTGTGTGGTTCTGGATGAGCAATTACACGTTTTGCTTCCTTCAATTATTGACTTACTGTAGTTTATTTGGCAAATATTTAACTTCTTTAACTTTTACTATGTTCTATTGTCTAAATTTTTAAGTTTAATTAAATTATTCCCATAGTGCGACATCACCAAAATCCGGTAGCTAAAACATTTTTTAGCTTATAGGAAATGTGTCCCTCAAAGATTAATTAGTAGAGGGAGAACTGTAGTATAAATTATTAGTTTTTCCAGACATGACAGCTGAGAGAGCATTTTCAAGTAAATTCACCTCATCAATGAATATATATATTGTCGTTGTTGCAGAAGCAAGACCGTCCATCGTCCCCCCATCTTGCGAGCATCCCTCCCTGCAACATACTAAATCACATCGAGCACTTGCTTAACTACGCAACAAATACGGCAACGCAACGATATGGTTGTGACAACCCCAAGCCGCTCAATTATCTCTCAGCCGACCATCCAATCCATCCCAAAATGGGTGCGTGAAAATTTAAAGCTTACTTTTTTAATTAGTAGACCATATCAATTGTTGGTAAAATTGAGCTCCATAGAATGCTTATTTAGATTTAAAAAAGGGAGACACTTAAGAGCTTGCTATTTTGCATGTAAATGGGCGAGCCTTAGAGCTCTGTTCTATATCTTATAAAAGGGCGATGTAACGGAGCACTGGTCAATAGTACTGCTTTAGTACTAGTGCACCTACTGTAAGAAGTAGGAGTTAGATAAAGTAAATGACTTGTATATTACCGCGCACCAGACGCGTTTCGGCCCCCCGCCGGGGGCCTCATCAGTGGTTTGTCAATCTACAAGTGAGAACTATCCATACGTCTAGCTGCCGTACGACCTATAATAATGCATAGAACCCTAAAGAACATTCTAGACATACCCTATCATGGGTCGAATCTCTGGAGTCGAATCCAGTGCATCATGCACTTACAACACCTACACTGACAACAGTGTAGGTAGTGCCGCGCGTCACCTCACGTACACCGTACGTGCAAAAGAAGGCTAGCTAGTGAACGACGCCTTTAATAGAAGTAGAAAGTAAAACTGAATTAGATACAAGTAAGTCCTAATCATTATCCTACGTTCTATGTTTTAGTCCTAACTTTATTATATTTATCTACAAAAGTATATGCTAATGTTTTGCTCACCACTCATCGTGCACGTCCATCAATTATTGGACCGCTAGAGCTGGCTGATGTGATGGCCCATATCAGCCAATTGGTGAGTGTTTTATAAATATTACTCTGTATGGTAATATTCATAAACATTACCATCCTTTATGATTTTATTCTGATAAACAGGTATCAAGGTGATTACATGTAACAGGCTTGCCCGTCACAGGCGAGCTCCAGGCTTTGCTCACGCGTTCACCTCCAAATATTCAGGCTTGTAAGATTTGATATATCTACCTTTTAATTTTGTGAAGTGTCGGTATCCTAGATGAACACATATGTGTTCATCTAGGATACCGACACTTTACAAAAGCACGCACCGATACGACTGCCATTGTTTCTCAATATATCGATGCATTCTGATTTCGGACCTTATCTAAGTTTGTAAGCAAACCGACTCGCTGTTCAATGTTTTTGTGCCCTCATTGCTCTACGTTGCTCTGCATGTCTTGCGGACACACGTACCAAGCTATTTTGATGTTCAAAACTGGTACGACACGAACTAGCTTGAGATTATCTTCGACGTATTCGGCATCGGAACCAATCGCGCTTATATACTTTCAGTCAGCTGGCTGCAATAAAAGATTTGGCTCTACAACGGCTACAGCATTGGCATCGCCGTTTGCATGCATCATCATCGTGGTCTTTTCTTCACCCTCCAGGGCCAGTCGATAACATTTTTGCAAATAGTGCCAGCTTGTAGTGCTTGTGGGCGAACTTCACGGCTCAATACTTTGGCGTAGCTATCCTCCAAACTTCATACCCGCGGTTCGGGTGGACGTTTAATCCAAATCGCGGCTGTCGGAAAAAGCTAATACTACCGATGCTTGGCAATTGATCTTCCAGCTTCATGTAACTCGTATTGGGCTGTAGCGTTCGAATGTGTGGACGTTTTTACGGTGACAACAACGATTCACACCAAGAATTTATGCTGCTGTTGCGACCGATGTCGAACACCAGAGTCGATTCTTTACGAGAGTGACGCAACAGCGCAGCTGGTACATACAAATCTGTTTTTGCCGTGTCCGTTGTCTCCTCTTCATTCTCACATCCGGGAATATCGCAAAGCCCGATCGAGCTGGCACAGCTTGACGAGAGCTGTGGAAGCAAAAAATAGCAAAAACTGTAAGAAGCGCATACCCGTAAGCATGAGAAAACCTGAGAATGGACGTACCGAGCTCGTGACACGGCGATGGCACGCAATAGTCGTCGTTGCTGTGGAAACAACGCTTTCATCGGAGTTGCGCATTGTGCAATCTTTCTCGTAGCTACTGCTCTCCCATTTGGTGGTTCTGTTTGGGCTTGACACAAGCGCTGCAGGCTTACAGCATTCCGTCATATCGAGCCCGTTAACCCTTGCTTGGAACCCAACCAGTCGTGCTCGGGATGATTGACTGACTGCCGCGAACCGTGGATTGTCTGGCCGATCATGCCCCGCGTGTGCGAGAAGCGATGCCGGTACCGGGAAAGTTTTCAGCTCATTTGAATCGACGTTGGGCAGCTCTTCCTCATTTGTTGTAAGAGAGAGTAAGATACGTGGTTTGGAAATGGGATCAGTGTCCTGTTCGGTATTGTTCAACGTGGCTGGCATCATGTTTCGTCTCATCCATTCCTCTTGCTGCTGTTTGAGAAGCTGTTCCTCCACAATTTTTCGGTGCAAAATTACCTGTTGCGACTCTTGCTGTTTCATAATGTCCCTTTGTGCCACAGGTGACGCTGGTCCCCGAAAGTCTAGGTTTGGCATTTGAACTTGTCGGGAAATACCGATACTTTCAGCACTTGCAGGCGCTGCTGCAGCCATCTTTTTCGACACTTGAATGCGAAGATCATCACGCCGTGAGCTTGGCCAAACATCTGGACTCTTTAACCGCGGCAGCTTTTCAGTTGGATAACCAGGCGCAGTATCAGTCACACTAGGCGGCCGCTGCTTGGAGATGTTGTGGCGCTGCTGCGCCGCTAGACACGACGGAGACACGATTGGGGAGCTGGAATATTCCAATGGAGGAGGGCGACTAGTCTTTTCTAAGCTTTCGGTCACACGTATCTGATGTGACGATGAGAAGGATGCATGTGAGGCTTGATCAATTCCCTTACTCGCTTGGGGGACTGTCGGTTGATGCCGGTGCTGATCGAAAGATCGTGACGGTGACTTTCCTGCTTCCACTTGAGTTGTCGTCCCAATTGGGTTCCATTCGCTACACCACCGCGTACTAGCAACAGGCGATGCTGAATATTCCAGAGGCGTTTGCACCAACTCAACCGCAGTTGATAAACTAGGCTCGTGGCCTCCTAGTCCTGATGTTTCAATTTGCAATGATTGTTGTTTACTAGTTTCAGCAGATACAACACTTTCGTGCGCCGCGACCGCTGGCCCCCACGGTGTCGAGGCTCGACGTCGAGCCATCCGCGCCACATTCCGTGCACTTAACATTTGACTCGGTCGCACGTGTTTTGCCATCGCTCGGTCGACGAGTTGCTCAATTTTTGAAACGGTCGCAAGCGCCGTGTTGCTTTCTAGATCCAATTGAATGATTGTCTGACCTACTGTTAGTGTATCCCCGTGGTGCACCACGACCGCATCCTGATGCAATCGTTGGCTCCCATTCACGATCGAGCCGTGGCAGCTGTGGTCACTATAGACCCAGACGCCCCGTCCAATGGTCCGCTCCAAAGTTCCGTGTGCTGCGTCCACCTCTCGATCGCCTCGGACCTGGAAAGTGGATTCGACTCCTTTGCCCACGACAATTGAGGGAATGGCAAGTGCCGTCAGTGGATAATTCGTGTCGTCTGGGGTGGATTTGTGGTGAGCACGTGACGACAAGAAGCCACGCGCTTGCAGCACGATCGTTGACGGTGGACGAGCTGTTGACGTCATCGTAGCGTGGACGAGATCAAGGACGGGGCTGAAGGCACTGACGGAATGGCTACAATGAACGGATAGAGACGCGATTCGAGGGCAGCAGAATCGCAGATGGACCAAGCAAAAACGTAAAGACGGATAATTTTGCGGTAGTATCGAGGATATTTTGAAATCAAACTTGTGATGGCACAAAAAGCGGTGGTGTTTTGTGCGTATTTTGATTAAAGGACATGAAAGGCGCGCGGGTGAAAGCAGTTCGACTGGGCTTCATGTTATTTGCCAAAGGAGGATCGGCCAAAGCTGAAAAGACTACGAAGCAGTCGAAGCACGCTGTCTTTTGTCTGACATTTAATAAAGCCCATCAGCATGAGCAGCTGTGGATTTTTTTTCGAATGGAACGAGATGACGGATGCACAGGCGTGTACATGAGTCGACTGCACGCGTATGTGCAGTCAAAGCAAAGCAACACTGAGTGAAGGAGCTTCAATCAGGTACTCAGTAGAAAATAATGGTTGTGCGCCAATAGGGTATCTAGTTGCATGCAGCGATGAAAAGCGCATGCAATAGTCTCGCTGTCTACGAAGTGGACCATAGCTACACAACTGAAGTGTGCAACCAACGAAACGATGCCGCATCACTTGAGGACATGAGAGCCTTATGATGTTCGCCAAAGTGTCGACTTGAAGGAGCTTGGAAGCAAGCGCGACTGCTTGCCGAGTAAACAATGCGTTGAAGACGGGCCTCTCCCCGTTCAGGGCTCGCGAGAGAATGTTTCTGTCGAAGGGGGGTGCCCGTGGTAAGGGTCTGAGGCTGACAACGGGTAGCGCTGGACGTTACACTATGTGTATTCACGGCAACGGTGAGCTGTACAGCAGCTCGCCTGGTACTTCCACGGCTCTACGATGAAGCTCGCACTTTACAGAGCGTCCACGACACCTCCTAACCTTGACAGCTATGATACCATGCTGCTGTTGCGCGGCATTTGTTCAAACAGGCTAGTACTTGGCGCGCCGAGGCATCACTAACGGGTCTTTTCAAAGCCAATGTCGTACCAAAATGTGGCGTTCTGCATTGCTGGATAGAGCTGCTGAGCTCAGTAGATGAACATTTACGAATCCCTTTCTGGCTGTTCTCCTTGCTTGCCGCCTCAATGGAGTTTGTAATCAGCTTCAATCGTCGTCAATTCTCTTCGAAGCAACAACAAGTTGCTGAGGTCGGTTCTTTTTGGCGCAAGTGGTTGGATCCAGAACTAGCGCGGAACCAGACCGCTCAGATCCATATACATCAGGCAACGACTCACTGGAGGGATCCAGTTCCTTAATGACACAAGGAGTTGATGACGATACGAGTCATACCGATACTGACATAAAAACGTCGTCCCTTTGTTAGCCAGTGTCACAACATGATGCAGTGCATCAAAATTGACTGTGTCCTACGGAGAGCACGGGAGACAGGGAAAAGTAGCAGCAAGGCAGTGGTGGTCCAGTCCTTTCTTTACTGGTCCGCAGTCGCAGATCTGTCCCACTTTCAGAACGAAATTCGTGCTAAGACGTGACAAAAGAGGACCCACGCGATGGGAAACTCCGACTTTTGCACATTCGGCGCGGTTCTGTACGTGGGTAGGTGCTTATCAGCTGGTGCGACGGCTTTGTCACGTTTTTGCCTGTCACTGGTCCTCGTGTTGCTTGAATTTCATTGACCCAATGACCAGGTGTCTCGCGTCTATCAATGATTCTATCTATCTGTCTACCTCCCGAGTAACCGACCAAACCTACCAATTATTCAGTCTCTGGTGCGAACGGCACAAGTGCTTTCACGCTTAAACCAGGTTTCATAGTCGAGCGAAGAGCTTCACGTTCGACGCCTTCTGATCACGTCAAAAGACCTGAGTTGCTGCTGTACACACGCATTGAGATTCGTGGTCAGATGGTCGGGGGGAAGAGCTGGCGAAATCGCCTGTTCGCGCCTGTGGTAACGATTCAGGTCTTGGCCGCGACGAGGTCGATAGCGTCCGTGTCCGAGACTCTGAAGTTGCAGCGACGATTATGTCTCGCGTCGCCACCGAATCAGGTGACGTTCAGTCAGATTCCGGCGTCTGCAAGTGCGGCTTATGTCATCGATCAGGACTGTACGATCTGGATGATCTATGCAACTAGACAGAGCGACGGGAGTCAGATGATGAACGCGTCAGGGCAGAACATCGCCGTTGTCAAGAGTTTGCCCGACGTCGATTCGCTGTAAGTAGCAGCACAACAATCAGAGCAAACATGTGTGGATTGATGGGGTTGAAGCTCAGATAGTTGGAGGTGCTGAGTGTGTTATGTGATGTGATTTATGAATGGTGACTAGGGATCTATCGGGTAACAGCATTGTTGCTGTTGAAGAATCAGACAATAGCAGCATCTCTAAGCTGTACGGAAGGAATCTGTCATCTCGAGAGGCTGCTGTGGAGACACGAGGTCCTTAACTTTGTCTTTCTGTGTGTGGATTCGTGTGTGTAGGGATTTATCCCGCAACGGTATTCGAAGCCTCGCGAATATCTCAATACCCAGCAGCGTCGTCGCACTGTAAGTCTGTGTTTGAATGTTTGACTGCATGTTCTATCTATCAGTTGTGTGACTTACTCGTTTATTTCTTCTGGATTGAACAGGAACTTGGGTAACAACGAGATCTCTAGCTTGCCTGCAGGCGCCCTCCCCGGCACTGTGATGTCAATTTCGATTCGAAACAATAGCATCACGTCTTTGCAAAGTTTTGTGGTAGGAAAGAGGACAAAGGACATTGACTTGAGCGACAACGTGATGTCATTTCTTGCCAGCTGGCAAATGCCCAGCAACCTTCAGTCTTTCAGATGTCAAAATTGCGGGATCAAGTCCATCGCAGGTGTGGTTTTTCCAGCATCCATGTCGCTTTCGACGTTCGATTTAACGGGCAGCAACATTGAGTCCTTTGAGGTCGCGAATTCAAGTATACATGTGCTCGAGGCTGTGGCGAATCTCGTAGTTACAACAATTGAATCCAAGTGCGGTGACAGCCGTGCTCTGGTGCAAGTTACTCGCTCGATGAAGCTCTGTGTGCTGCCAGACAATCACTTTAACGTCAAACATATGCTAGAAGAAGCTGATTCTTCCGATGAATTTACTTCTGTGAGTGAGGGAAAAGCTGCTGCCGGCGTCAGTGGCCTTAGCAATTGGATGATGCTGGCCATGATTTGCCTCGGCGCGATGATGGCCTGTATCATCGGCGGCGTTGTCTTCGTCATCTTTCGTCGTCAGCAAAAATCTCGGGATGAAGAATTAAAGGAAGCTGAAAATTTGGAGCTTGACCTGGATGCGTCGTCATCGTCCAAGGCGACCAAGTACATGCCAACTTACTTGACAACTATGTCACGAACAGGTCGAACGGATTCGGCACCCGAGAGAATGCTGACGAACTCTACATTCAACATGGGGGTAAATGATATCCGCATGGATGACGATATCCTGCAGTGCAGGTTGCTGCAGGAAGAAGTCGTGCGCGAGGAGCTGATTGCTAAAGGCGGCTACGGCGCTGTGTATTTGGCCACGTTCCAGAACGAGAAGGTGGTGACGAAGCAATTGCTGCCTGAACGAGCTCGCGATAAGGGCTGGTCGAGTAATTTCATGGATGAGATTCGCTTGTGTTCGACGCTCGATCACCCCAAGATCGTGCGCTTTATTGGCGTTACATGGAGCTCTTTGCTTGATGTAAGTATGGTAATGGAGTACATGCCTCGTGGCGACCTAAGCACCATGTTGCGAATGCAATTGGAACGCGAGACTCACGACAAGCGCGCTCGGGATGACTATGCTTGGTTCCACTCTGTCGGTGAAGGCGGGAAGTTGAGGCACAAGTCGCTGATTGCGCTTGACATTGCAGAGGCCCTCGTCTACCTGCACTCGTTCGAGAGTCCTATCATCCATCGTGACTTGAAGCCGAAAAATGTGCTACTTGGCGACTCGTGGGAAGCAAAATTGACCGACTTTGGCACGAGTCGTGCAGTAGACGAAGACCAGACGATGACTGCAGAGATCGGCACGGTCTCTTGGATTGCTCCGGAAGTGCTGCGCGGCGAGCAGTATTCTGAAAAAGCCGACGTGTACTCTGTCGGCATCATTTTGACAGAGCTGGATACATGTCGTCGGCCTTATTCGCACGGCGTCCCGGGCGCGAGCCACCGCGGGGCTGACGGCAATTACAAGACATCGAACACTCAAATTGCTGTGTTGGTCAGTGCCGGTTCTCTGAGACCCGAGGTGCATCCGGACTGTCCCCGCAGTGTGCGCCGCTTGGTGGACAAGTGCCTGGCGTATGACCCAGAAGACCGTCCATCGGCATTGCAGATTCACTTTGAGCTGCGCAACTTGGAACTTGAAGAGGAGAAGCTGCTGGCGTCGGCGAGACGCATGGCGGACATACAGTGCTAAGGTTGCAGCTGCGAAACGGTCGGTTCCAGCACACTCGAGTGCAGGATGCAGTCACGAGGAAGGCTCAAGCTGGACGACGCGTATGGCAAAGAAAACAGCGACGCCTGGTGCGTAGATGCTTTAACGTTATTTAATGAAGAAAGCTTTCAGCTCTCGTGTCATGAAGTTCACCTGCATCTTGCCGTCAAGGAACAACCCGATCATTGTCGTTACGAGATAACCATCAGCTGGCAGCCCAAGAGTCGCCGCCATCGTCCAGTCCAGTCCATGCACTTCATTTTGCAACTTGACGATCGTCCCGTTGTCAAGCTCGTGTGCGGACCCCTTCGTGGTACGCCCACCGGATGTTAAATGAGCTGTTGGCGCCATGTCCCACGTCGTGCAAAAGTAAGAAACCGCATGCATGGTCCATACCGACCGAAGAGCGTGTTTTCCAGATGGGGAACAAACCGACGGTGCCCCGAACTCACGCACTCACTCACTCACCTGTGCGTAAAACCCTCGATTCTCGAGGGTACGTCCGTTCAGTCTAGACTGTACAACCGACGGGATCGTCCGACGTCAGTCGCAACTCCGTGATAACACGTCTTCCTTATGAGCCGGTCACGCTTGTGGCCACGCCGACTGGACTTGCTCCTTGTCGTCCTTGTGCTTGCAAGTGATGGCCCACAAGTGGCTTCTGTTGACGCCCTCAGTACGAACACATGTGAGACACCAGCTCCGACGCTCGCGACATTGCGTCGAGCCGCCACTCGGGCGTCGAATGCTGAAGTCGTGTATCCGAATTGCACCGTTGTGAGCATCAGTTCGACGTTCGGTAATGGCACGACGATCGTCGATGCGACCGACTTGAACATTCAAGCAGTTGCGAGTTTCCCGGACGTGACCACGGTCCTGCTTTCCGGGAACCAGGTGACGGTTATTTATGAAGACGCGGACGTGGCTGTTAAGACGCTGTACGTTGGACTGGAAGTGAAGACGATTCTTGTGGATGGAGCAAGTGCTATCCCCTTGTTACTGTTAGCAGGAAGGGTTGTCTGACGCTTGTTTGTGCTGTTGTTGTTGTTTTTGGTGGTGGTGGTGGTGGTTGTTGTCTTTGTGTTCCTGTCAACAGCGACTTGTCATCCAATGGCCTCAGTGGGTTGGATACCCTGACAATTCCACGCTCCGTGACGAAGCTGTACGTGTGCCATCTTTATGCTGCCGGAATGTCTCCATATGGACTCTGACGTGTCTTGGCTGGATGAATGGATGGCTGTGCTGTGCTGCTTTGAACAGAGTTCTAGATGGCAACTCTATACTTAGTCTCGCCATCAGTGAGATCCCTGAGACCGTGACCTCGCTGTCGCTACGACAGAACGGCATTGTCAAGCTGAACACCTTCATGTTCAGTGATACATTACTCAGGCTTGACACGAGCGACAACACTATCCACGATTTCTCGACGTGGAAAATGCCGTCTCAATTGCAGGTGTATACGTGTATCCAGTGCGACGCTAAAACGATTTCCGGTGTCACGCTGCCGTCGTCGGGTTCCTTGACTTCCCTCGATATGGAAGGCAGTACGGTAGAGTCTGTAGAGATCGCGCGCTCGACTTTGCCATTGGTCACCGGATTGGGGAGGTTGAAGTTGACCGTCTCAAGTTCTAGTTGCAGTGATCCCACGGCTACGAAGCAAGAAGTGCATTCGGTGCCTATTTGCGTGCTGCCGGACGCAGTGTACAACCGCAAGTTCGTCCTCTCTGGATCCGTGAGCGACTCGGGTAGCGCTCTTCATCTGCTGCCCGATGACGTCCAGCTTTCTAATTCGCCTGAGGCATCGAATTGGATGCTTGTGGCCATGATTTCAGGTGCGGCTTTGCTGCTTGTGATTATTGGAGGCACCATTGCTTATCTCGTGTTTCGCCATCGCCGTTCGAACGAGAACTTTCGAGACTACACAGCTGATCGATGCTCGTATTTCCATTCCGAAGCTGACATTGGCACGAACAACACGACTGGCAACTCTATGTTTGAGCGGACGTTTAACACAGGGGTGGCGGAGAGCGAAGAGCGTTCGAGACGAGACGAGACGGTTGTCAGCAGTAAGCATCGAAGAGCTGCTTGCCCTCCGGATTCTGCCCCTCGGTCAGTAAGCAGGATTTCCGACCGACATCTGGACAACGACATCCGCACTGATCAGAATATGCGGCACTATCGTTTGATGCACGACGAGGTGTTGCGTGGGAAGCTTGTTGCCAAGGGTGGCTACGGAGCCGTTTATAAAGCCACGTTCCGTGGTAAAACCGTCGTAACAAAGCAATTGCTGCCAGAGCGAGCTCGTGATCCACGGATGCTTAATGACTTTATGGACGAAATCCGGACGTGTGCTTCTCTGGATCACCCTAAGATCGTGACGTTCATCGGCTTCACATTCACTTCTCTCATGGACTTGTCCGCTGTGTTTGAGTACATGCCGAACGGTGACCTTGCAGCCCTGTTGCAGAAACAGTTGAAGCGCGAGAGTCGCGACCCGACGGCTCGTGAATCGTACGGCTGGTTCCATACTGCAGAGTCAAGTGGAGGAGGCCGCAAGTGCAAGTCTCTTGTTGCTCTCGATGTTGCAGAGGCTCTCGTGTACCTGCACTCTTTCGAAAGCCCGATGATCCACCGAGACCTGAAACCCAACAACATCCTCTTGAGCCATACGTGGGAAGCCAAGTTAACGGACTTCGGTGTGAGTCGCGAGCTTCGAGAGGATCAGACCATGACCGCCGAGATTGGTACTATATCTTGGATCGCACCCGAGGTGCTGCGCGGTGAACGGTATACCGAAAAGGCAGACGTGTACTCGTTCGGTGTGATAATGACCGAGCTGGACACGTGTCGACGGCCGTACTCAAACGGCATGACTGACGATGATCGTGGTGGCAACATGAAGCACACGAATGCTCGTATTGCTGTGCTAGTGAGTGCCGGTTCGTTAAGGCCATCGTTGAGTCCTGATTGCCCCGGTAATGTTCGGGAGCTCATTGAAAGGTGTCTGGATGGGAACCCAGTGAATCGACCATCAGCGTTACAACTGCACTTTGAGCTGCGCAACCTCGAGCTTGCACCAGACGACTTGGCGACCACAGGTCGACTGGCAAATCGAGCCATGTCAGCTCCCCGAAGTAAGTGCAAACCACATCGCCGAACGCCAAATCGACACGAGCATCGAAAGCGGTCTGAGCCGCAGATTGTGCTGATTGACGACGACGATATTGCACTATTGTCAAATGAACGACGGGATCACGTGCGAAGCTTTGTGTGATGACTGCATGCCATGAGAGAAGGGCCTTTTTATTTGAACGTGAGAGAGATGGATGCCATATCGATCTACCTGCCGGTTAGGATGAACATAAAGTCAGGGAACCGACTGGAGTCCAGATTTAGCTGGTTGAAGTCAAGTCGAAGGCAACAGTGTACCACCTATTCAATTGGAACGCTTTCGACACGTACGTGCAGCAGTACTGGTTGCTGTATTCCATTGGAGATTACTCAAGCACACGAATGAGGTACAGTCGAGACTGAAAGAGTTTCGCCGAGTACTATTGATTTCAGCAGCAGCTTTACTTCTATCCTGATGACACTCATGTCGGTCAGTTTTTGGCGTCAAATGCACGACTTGCACAGTCATCACCTATTGTAATGGTGTTTACATGAGACAGGATCCGAGCATTTTGCGTGCATCCTGTCAATGCGGCCTTCACGATTTATTGCACAGTGGGTTATCATATCATCCCTATTAGGAGCTTGAAAAAAGTGGATCTAGAACACCAATACATACATTGTCAGGTGAAGGAAACGTTAATTACCGAATTTTGAGACCGTGCTCGGGTAACTGTCTGGACAATCGACAACATTTGGAAGCAATTGTCATGAGCTTTACAACGCGGTAGCCAGCAACATGGCCTACAGAAGCTCCCTACAGCTAAAGGATTGCTTAAATGATGGTAAACATGAGCTAAAGGTCGTATCGTGCACAAAGCAAAAGTCGCGCTAGGACAAACCAATTTTGAACTCAGAAGTTCGGTACCGTACATTAATATATTCATAAACTGAGGAAACGCAAACAGATCTGACATGCTGCGTAACATTTCAGACACTGAAATTTATGAGCCATCACGTTGACGTTATATCGACGTTTGTTGACAAGCCAGCTGGCGATCAGATAAAATTTATCCCCACATAATTCAGCAGCTGCTCCCTAACATAGGGCATGTGATGGAAGACCGTGCACAAGCGCGAATGCACGGACCACATTCAGATGTGCCAAGTTAAAATTTGCTCCATTTAGTGCATCTGCCAGCCAGATTATATGGTACTAAATTTAGTACTCGAAATCGCTTTCAGCAATCTGATCTGAACCGTTTGAGGCAGTCTAGGAACTCATCCTGAATTATTTAGCACGTCTCTACCTACCCTTTTTCCAAATTTGTGAGCGTACGCCTTTTGTGATACGTTTTGCTAAACCCGGTTAATAAATGTGCCGCAGAATACTGGAAAGGCTATTGATAAATACCGTCACTTCTCCGATCTGACTTAGTGTTTGTAGGCGAAGGACGAGCGAATAGAATTACAGCACTGCATTTTATTCTATCAAGGAGAATACGAACATGTTTTGGCCAATATGAAACGTGTAAGGGTAGGGGAATAGGGTACGCCTGCTGGTCCGACGTGTTGGGATGGAGGAGAACGCCAGATCTGTGTATGTTACTGCAAAACTAAAGTCACGGGTGTATCAATAGCATATTTGCGTGCTGTCCGACTTCAGATGATTTTGACGATCTGCGGCATGGAAACTGTTGTCACAGATGCGCCTCGGCATGAGTTCTTGCACAAGATCTTGTCGCTCATGTGGTTTGGTGTGGCAGCACCATGCGAGGGGTCACTAGTTTGATATCCAGTGACTGCAACAAAAAGTTAAAACCTTCGGATACTGGTGTGCCCTGGTTCACCAGCATAGTCTAGCCAGACAGTGACGTCCCCCATGTTGGTAGGTTTTTGGTGTTTGCTGTAAACACACTATCTGAGTTAGAGACGTACGACGAGACGACTAGTAGTGTACGACAAGCGATTAATAGTGTAGAGTCAAAAATAGTTCAGTAGGCTTAGAGTAGCAGTAAGAGGTAGTGAACTAAGCATCGAAATTTATCCACTGTGCATTTTGCCAAACTTCGATCACTTTCTTTTAGTTGTGAGCCCAAGCTTTGCAGACTTTGACTAAGACCTCGAATACGCCTTTGCCATGGACTCGTCTTCGTTCATCGCCGCTCGCATCGACGGGTTCTTGTGAACATACTTCCATGTGTGGAAGTTTAAGATGCAAATGGTGCTAAGGGAGCTAGACCTGTGGGACGTCGTGAGCGGCGAGGCACTCTCGAGCACTGCACACGTACTTTGGACCAAGCGACGTTCAAGCGAAAGTCGCGGAAGGCGCTAGAGGTATTTTTTTTGTGATGGAGGATTTGAAGTTGCCACTAGTTCGCTTGGCGCAGGATGAGTATGATGCATAGTTACGTCTAGAAGAAAACTACAAGAAAAGGAGCGTTGATAACAAGTTCTTCCTTCGTTACCGGTTCTTCATGACATTGATGGGGGAAGGTGATGGCGTGCTGAATCACATCAACAAACATAAGACTCTGGCGGTGCAAGTGGACGCAGTCGGTGCTCCGTTCAGTGAAGACAATTTTGTCATGAAGCTTCTGGCCAGCCTAAGCGAGTCGTATCAGTTCCGAAAAATAGCATCGGATTCTAACGCCGACTCGTTTCCGTGGGAACTAGTGACGTCTCGGCTATTGCATGGCGATATGAAGCGCAAGGAGCGAGTGGCGGAATCGAAGGAGCCGCACACGGTAAATTTTGAGCATTTATGTCAAGAGACAACAAGCGTAAAACTCGATTAGCTAAGAAGACCGTTGCGTGCCACAATTGTGGCAAGCAATGACATTGGATTGCGAAATTCCCCTCACACATCCAGAGAGATACTAAACGACATAGGCACCATCGTGCAGACATCGCACAAGAATTGGATCTTGGTGATTACTTTTTATCGGGTGTTGGTAAGACCAAGTCGAGTTACGTGTGGCTGGTCGACTCAGGAGCGACGCAGTACATGACAATTTCAAAAGGGTTCATGAGGAATTATAAGGACTTTGGACCAATAGGTGTAACAACTTGCTGATGACAGTGTTGTACAAGCGATTGACCAAGGTGACATAGTCATGTCGATGATGAATCGTCAAGGGTTCAAGAAGGGTGTGCTCACAGATGTGTGCCATATCCCAAAGCTATCTCGGAACTTATTTTTCGTTAGAAATTTTATCAAGGATGTTAAACTTGTCACCTTCGAAGTTGATGGTTGCTTCGCGAAAACGAAGGGATTTGAGTGGAAAATCGTCGCTCATAGAGGAAAGGGAGATTTCAAGCTTTGAATGACACCGGTGCTTCTTGAAAAATCGATGTGGAAAGTCCAATAAACTTTAAAGAAGTCAACACTTCCTACCTTTGGAATCTTCGATTTGGCCACAAATTTTTATAAAGGACTAGAAAACATTGTCAAGATAGTTTACGGCAGCATAATTGGCATTTAGTCGGTGCAGAAGTGAGAGTTTAATGACATATGCGCACTTGGCAAGCTAAACGTGTGTGTTATGTGACCAAGTCACCCGACCGAGCAAGTGTGTCGCTGGAGGTCATTCACAGCGCTGTGGGTGGCCCCAATAAAACTCCTTACTTCATTGGCAAACGATTTTTCGTGACTTTTATCGACGAATACTCGCACTACAAAAAGATGTATCTGTTTCAAAAAAAGTCCGAAGTAGCGGCCAAGTTCGCGTTATTCGTCGTGTTGGTGGAAACTCAAACTGGCAAGCATGTGAAGACTCCTAAAAGAGATAATGGTGGCAGGCGTACTGTCAGTACGATGCTCAAGTTCTGTGCGGACCATGTTATCATGCAAAAATTCACGCCACCTTGCACTCCGTAATTGAACGGTGTCGCCGATCGGATAAATTGAACATTAATGGAAAGCGCTTGTTGCATGATAAAACATGCCTGGTTAGCCGATTCGTATTGGGTTGAGGCAGTCATCAATTCGAAATTCCTACGGCTTCGCTGTCCAACTCGTTCAACAAGTCATGACAAGTCACCCAACGAAGTATTAGGTGGTCAAATTATATACTTGTAAACTTGGAGATTATTGGATGTCCTGCATACGTGCATGTGCCCAAGCCTAAGAGGTCCAAGCTCGATGCAAGATCTATTCTGGGTCAGTTTATTGGATACTCCGACCATGAAAAATGTATTAGTCTGAGGAGATCAAGAGTCGTCGTGTACTGGTCAGTCGCGACGCGCAGTTCATGGATAATGTTTTTGACAGTAAAAGACGCGACTGTGTGCAAGATGAAGCTTAAATGGAAGACGAGGATATTCCTATGTGAAATTCTTCTCTCATGACACTAACAACATGAATTTTAAAAAGCCTTCAATGGATGGCGTTGAAAAACCTGGTGGTAAGATACACTAACGCACATAGTGTCTGGAGGTACGGCCAACGTTCCTGATTTGAAACGTCGAGCTCGATACGTTACCATGGCTGAGATGTCTGCGACGACTGATACCAGTCACTCTGTTGAGGCTGCCTACGTCGTGGATTCAGTAGGCGATTTATCAAGAACATTTAAGGCAGGAATGGAATCTAGCGACACAGTCAAGTAAAAAGAGGCTTGTGACTCTGATATAATTACCTTCGTCACAATGCGATTTGAAATATCGTGTCGCTTCCACAGAGACGCAAGTAAATAGGTTATCGATGGACTTTTCGGGCAGAAAAGACATAGGATGGAAGAATTTATCGGTTCAAAGTGCGTTTGGTAGCCAAAGATTTCTTTCAGATTAATGGCATTGACTATGACGATAGCCTTCGCTCCTGTGGAAAAGTTTACATACATCGTAATCTTACTCAGCTTGGCAGAGAATTAATTTCTCACGATTCACCAGATGAATTTCAAGACAGTAATTCTAAACAGACACCCTTAGTAATATATTTACATGGCGCAGCCGGATGGATACGTTGATGAAGATCATCCGGATTTTATTTGTCAAATAAAGCGCTCTCCATATGGTCTGAAGCAGTCCCCACAGATATAGAACCAGACCATTGATCAGTTTATGCTGGATTAAAAGGTTCAGAAGTGCAGGACCGACCATCGTATTTAAATTAAGCGAGATCACACAGAGATGATCTTTGTAGCGCTGTATGTTGACGATTTGGTCCTCGCAAGCAGTATCGCCAAACTAATATAAACCTTGAAGGATGCGCTTAGTGGGCGCTCTGACATGACGGACCTTGTTGACATCAACTATTTCCTAGGTATGGAATTTAATTAAGATTGCTCAGCTGGCACGACTTCGATCTGTCTGTTCAAATTTGCGAAGGACACTCTTATTAAAGTTGGCGTGGATAACAGCAATCGTGTCAGAACTCCACAAAAACCAGTACCCAAGTTTACAAAGTCAATGTGCGTGGATTGGTGCAAGCATGACGAGACAATGGCAAATGTGCTATTTTGCAATGCAGTCAGCTACTTGATGTGCCTTTTGGTGGGTATACGCCCAGATCTTGCAGCTGCAGTGGAAGTGCTTAGTCAGTTCTCGGCATACCCTTGTCCGACCCATTAGCAAACTCTTAATCGAGTTTTACATTAAATCCAAGGCACGAGAGCATATGGAATTGAGTATCAAGCTTAAAAAATTGCAAACTTCACGGCTACTCGGATGCAGACTGGGCCGGAGAAGTGGAATATCTACGAAACACTAGCGGGACACGTTTATATTGAAATACGGGTGTGTAAGCTGGAGAAGTATGATAAAGAGCGATGTGGCTCTATCACATACGGAAGCGGAGTACATTGCTTTATCAGACGCTTCACAAGAAGCCTTTTGGCGGAAGGCACTCGTATGTGAGCTCGGTGAAATGAAGAGCGACGAAGCAGCCGACATTTACGAATGTAATCAAGGGTCCATCTCGTTGGCTAAAAAATCTGAAATTCACAAGCGCACAAAACATATTGACATTCGATCTCACTTTGTGCGCGAAAAGTGGCTGTAGGAACATTTTTTTTGTGTTAACATCCTGCTCGACTAAGGACACGAGAGACGACCTGATGACCAAGTTAATTCCTGCAATCTAGGTCCAAAATCTATGGAGCATGATGGGCGTCAATGTGCTAGTTCTGCCGAGGCAGGTGGGAGGATTGTCAAAGATGCGCCTCGGCATGAGTTCTTGCACAAGATCTTGTCGCTCATGTGGCTCGATGTGGCAGCACCATGCGAGGGGTCACTGGTTTGGTATCCAGTGACTGCAACAAAAAGTTAAAATCTTCGGATACTGGTGTGCCCGGATTCACTAGCACAGTCTAGCCAGACAGGGACGTCCCCCATTATGGTAAGTTTTGGTGTTCGTTGTAAACACACTATCTGAGTTAGAAACGTACGACGAGACGATTAGTAATGCACGACGAGACGATTACTAACGCAGAGTCAGAAAGAGTTCAGTAGGTTTAGAGTAGCAATAAGAGGTAGTGAACGCAGAGTCAGAAAGAGTTCAGTAGGCTTAGAGTAGCAATAATAGGTAGTGAACTAAGCATCGAAATTTATCCAGTGCATTTTGCCAAACTTCGATCACTCTCTTTGAGTTGTGACCCAAGCTATGTGCATATCAATACAAATTACAAGTCAAGGGTGTACCATTTGCATAGTTGCGCGCTGTCGGACCTCAGATGAGTTTAGCAGATCTTTAGCCTATAAACACCAGGCGAGCCAGAGCAACTGCTGTGATTACATTCTTGCGTATTTCTCAGCATAGTATGCAAATCTAAAGTATGTCAAGGGCTGCTTGGAGCAGGAAGAATCTGGGCAGTGAATTTTGACTGTGATGGATAAGTTTGGTATGCATATTGCAATTTACGAATTCAGAGCTTGCAAGCCGCTTGAGAGACATTCATGCATCCAATACTCCGACGAACTAAACACTGGTTGCTAGATCAGTTTCCGCATTAGAGTGTTTAAGTAGACTCACAGATTTCTGAAGAAGAATAACAGTAGAGATCAACTGTGTCTAGAGAGAAGGTGGAGGGTTTTCATATAGGGCCAATGGATGATTCTCTTCGAAGACTGACTTGAGGCGGATGATGTATTATTTGTATTGAAATGCATGCTCGTCTAATGACTACCAGAACGCTGCTTCGCCGTTCCTCATTAGGTATGCATCCGGGCGTGCTTCGGACCTGACGCTCGTCCGCGAACATAATGTCTCGATCGATGCGATCGACTTGTTCTTCGTTTGCTAAATTCTTATGAAAACGTGCAGAGCAGGGACTCTCCATGTTTCCCACCGACAATTTTGCCACGATTCCGCTGCATGCCATCGCTCTGGCATTTATCACACATTCAGCGACGTGTGCCTTCCTCCTTGACAATTTACCTGCTCATCCAGTGAGCACCACAGTCAGATATGGCCCTGAGACACCGCTTCTTGACGATCTCGACCACTCAAAGGCTTCCTGCGGCCTCCAATCTGCTGCTGCATCAGGTAAAGACATCCCACCGACAATCCACAGCCACTTAAATTGCCTCTTCAACCGCATCTCCACTCTAGCTCGAGTGGAGTAGCAGCTCACGTCACAGTCGTTCTGTCGTGGCAATGCACAGCATGCGAACAGCTGCGTGCGACTTGTGGCGCCTTAAACCTTTGACCGCGACGCCTGGAACGTGAGCACGACAAACATAGCATTTATTTGCGTATTCAGCATCCTGAATGAGGATTACAAGGTTGCAAAGGTGGTTGGCTGGAAGCCGAACAAATTCGTGTCGCTCGCCGACTGAAGGCTCTTTGACGCTCAGA